TTATTCTTTATATCTTCAACAACATATTGAGAGATTGTGAGTTTGGATTTCAATTGAGATTATTTAAATCTTGATATTGTAAACACAAAACTATTAATTATAGGGGATTGTTCTCCTCTGTCCGTGGTTTTTTTCCCGAATTGGGTTTCTATGTAAATTCTTGTGTTCTTGTTTTCTTCTTCTTTATTTTATTATTATCATTATCTTGCGATCTGTTTCATAACAAGAAGTATCAGAGCACGGGGTTGATTGTTTCGCATTGCAACAATGAAGTATGACATTCCTTTGTTGGTAGAAACATGGAATTTACATTATGGCAAGTGAAGATGCGAGCGATGTTGGCGCAGATAGATTTGGAGGAAGCCTTGCTTAGTTTTGATCGGATGTCTGCTACCTGGACGCTGGATGAAGAGTGGCGTAGGGATCGAAATGCCCAATTTCAAATTCATCTATATCTCTCGAATCAAATTCTCCAAGATATTCTTAAGGAGAATAGTGCCGCTGCATTGTTGTTGAAGTTGAAGCAACTTTGCATAAGAAAGAGCTTGATCAGCAAGTTACACTTTGTATTCTTACCGGATGTCTGAAGGTGTGTCATTGGATGATCACTTAACTATGTTCAAAAAAATTGTAGCTGATTTGAAGACATTGGAGGTTAAGTATGACAATGAGGACTTGGCTTTGATGTTGTTGTTTTCACTGCCACCATCATATGTGACTTTTAGGGATACTATTCTCTATAGTCGGGATACTCTCACCGTGGAAGAGGTCTATGATACTTTACTATCTAAGGAGAAGATGAGGCATTTTGTTGGAGGATATGGAAATCATGATGAAGGCTTGGTTGTACGTGGGAGGAATCAAGATAAGAATCTTGACAGAATTTTGAGGGGCAGATCGAAGTCTAGACATGCTGAGAAGACATGTCACTACTGTAAGAAGAAGGGGCATATGAGAGCTGATTGCTATGCCTTGAAAAATAGAAATAAAGTTGCTAGTGCTACAGAGAAAGAAAAGCAACATGTTAATACAACGGAGGCTGATGTTGTGGAAGATGAGTAAAGTGGTGGAAAGCTTCTTGTGATTTCTGATGGGGATTCTAAAACTTGTAATACATGGGTTCTTGACTCAACTTGTACTTTTGATATGTGTCCTATAAGGAACTGGTTTTCTACATATAAAGGAGTTTCGAAAGGTGTTGTGATTATGGAAAACAACGCGCCTTACAAAATTGCGTTGGAGTTGGTAAGTCAGAATCAGAATATTAGATGAGGCTGTCATAACACTTACAGATGTAAGACATGTTCCAGAACTGAAGCGGATTCTTATATCTTTGAGTGCACTTGACTCAATGGGCTACAGATACATTGGTGAAGGTCGAGTTTTGAAGGTGAGCAAAGGTGCTCTTATTGCCATGAAGGGGTATAAAAACTCCATACAGCTGTACGTTTTGCACAGTTCCACAGTGATTGGGAATGCAACAATTTTTACTTCTTCTTTGACAGATGATGAAGTTACAAAACTTTGGCATATGAGGCTCGGGTGTATGAGTGAAAATAGAATGGCAGAGTTGAGTAAAAGGAGACTTCTTGACGGGCAGAAGACCAGTAAAATAGAGTTTTGTGAGCACTATCTTTGGGAAACAGAAGAAAGTCAGATTTGCTAAAAGAAGACACAACACGAAGGGAACACTTGAATATATCCATTCAGATCTTTGGGGACAAGCCCGGGTACCATCTAAAGGTGGCTATTATTACTTGTTAATAGTAATTGATGACTTCTATAGGAAAGTTTAGGTATTCTTCTTGAAACAGAAGAGTGATGTGTTTGAGACCTTCAAGGAGTGGAAAACATTGGTAGAGAAGTAGGCCGGAAAGCAAGTGAAATGTCTACGCATGATATGGTTTGGAGTTTTGTTCAGATGATTTCAATAGCTTCTGCAGGGTTGAAAGCATTTAAGACACTTGATAGTGCCTAAAACTCCTCAACAGAATGTTGTGGCAGAACGGATTAATAGAACCTTGATGGAAAATGTTTGTTGTATGCTTTCAAATTCTGGGTTGCCTAAGTCTTTTTTGGGCTGAAGCTGCTACTACAGCTTGTTTTCTGAGTAATCGCTCACCCTCAGTTTCCATTGATAAAAAGACACTAGAAGAGGTATGATCTAGTAAACCTTCTTCCTATTCTAATTTGATAATTTTTGGGTGTCCAACTT